AGATTTAAATTGATGATCTATAATTTGGAAAAAACCCTAATCCGGAATCAGTGACGTTCCGACGAGTCCGGATTACGGACTTTGTACTGCACTTCCTTTCTTGATTTGTCTGATGAAATATTGTTATAAACATTTATGTTTGCAGTAAATTAATCAAATATCTCCATATACATCATTCTTCTTTCTTTCTGAGCATTTTATTTTTCTAAAATAATGATATAGTTTTATTTTTTTAAACGAAATGTATGTACAGCTCACGCTTGTTATTTTAAAACGATAACAAATAATACACTATAGCCTTATATTATTAAGCCCTTCGACCTTGAACTATTATTTATTTGGTGGCCAAAACTATAACTATAGATATCTTTGATACGCATCTTACTTTTTAATGTCTACTCGACAATTCTATTATTTAGCGAAGTGTGCATGAGTGAAATTGTTAATTGTTGTGTTCAATAAAGTAACTGAAGAAATAGAAAATATTCAAATTTTATTACTATACCGTTTGCAGTTTGAGATAAAGTTCTCCTTTTCATATTTTATTTACTGTTGTTGAGTTATTAATTTTTTATCCAGACCATATCAATGCCAAGAAATGGATCTCAGAATCAGAAAAGAAAACTATAGCAAGAAAAAAGAAGCTCAGAACTCCAGAATAAGAATGGAATCATACTTAATAAAAAGAAATCGCAAAAGGAAAAACCATGTGATAAGAAGGATGAAGAAGTAAAATCAGAGTCGGAATCAGATTCAGATTGTACTAGTACTGCTGTAAACTTCTACGTGATAACACATCACAACAAACAGCAGACTCTGAGGATGATGTAGATGAGAGCCCAAGTATATTGGAAATTCTTGATCCACGTCCATATCTAATAAAAAAATATTGAAAATGCAACAGTAACATTGATTTTAATTCCAGACATTCTGGAGTTCAAAGATATTATTTAAAATTCACTAAAAATCTTCCAATAATATTGAACCAACTTTCCACAGAAATAATTATTCATGGATCCGGCACATTTCAAAATGAATTCAGTCTAAATGCAGTAGCAATATCAACTAATTGTCTCATGACAAAAGCTTGGTTTTTCTCGATGGAACGTTAATGAAGAAGAAGCTGAAATTAACCATTGTTGGTTATTATATTCACCAAAATGCAACACACTGCTTTTGTTGCTTACTGTTCATTATATTAAGTTCCGTTACAAAGTCCTCTTTCATAACAACTTCCCGGTTTTAGTATATGGAAGAAAAAAAATCAAATGATTAGCCATGAAAGAAATCATCAAAAATCGTTTATAACTTGAAAAGAAACAGAAAGAATAATAATTAATAAAATAGGAATCAATGAATGATTCAATGCAAATATGCAGTCTGAAAAAGAACAGGGGCAAAATATATTGCAATGAATAATATCTTGTATGAAGTATCTGATTATACAAATTCTTTCTCTACGTAGTCATGTTTAAAATCTAGAGTTTCAAGATGCTACAAATGTCAGAACCTATTATCTTTACTCAAACTTTTTGCTCAATTTGATCCACTACTAGCTAATCATCTTAAAAATGTTATGGCTATGCCAAAAACTGTCTCATACCTATCATCACAAACTCAAAATGAATTTATTATCTTTGTCTACCAAATACTGTTCGAAATCAACTAATAAGTGACATCAAAAGAAATAAATCTTATGGGCTTTTATTTGATTCAACTCCTGATATCGATCATTGAGAACAAATGTTGCAAGTCTTTAGATATGTAGAATATTGATTTACCAACAGAAAAGTTTCTAACAGAATCTTTTTTAGAATTTATTGAAATATTTGCTAAAAATGCAGCCTCAGTTGGAAATACAATTTTAGAAAAATTAAATTCCAAATGAGCCAAATAAGTCATCAGAGTACAACAGTGCAGGTCACAAGAAAGAAAAGGCCATTTTCTACTTAACGTAGTGAGAACAAAAGTAAGTAAATACAAGATCTACCAGAAAGTTCTATCTGATAATGTTATTTTAAGTTTCAGCACACATGCAGATGTTCTGTTGAGACTTATATATCTGTCTCTCTTATTTATGTTGTCATTCATAAATATCTGCTCTTCTAACTTAGACATAAGTGCTTCATGTCATTATTGATTGAGACACAATCATTTAAACATGGCTACTGATAAATTTCATTTACGAGACTGCATTTTGAACAAATTCAAACAAGGAAGAAGAGCTACAGAAACATGTTGAAATTTAGTGACTGTTTCTGATGGGGATGCAGTTTCTGATAGAATATGCGGGAGATGATTCAAAAAATCTGAAGCAGATGACTTCGACCCTAATGATAGGTCACGCTCTGGGCCTCCCATGTATGAGTAATGGTGATACTAACAAGACCATTATAGAGCAAGATACTTTTTAGACAACATCAAAGATTGCAGTAAAGCTTAGTTCAGTTCAACAAACCATTTTGGACAATATTCAGTAACTAGGATTGGTTTATAAATATTTTGGATGGGTGCCTCAAGTTAAATGAGAAAAATTTGCACGATTGAGTCATCATATGCATGTCTGCTTGCTTGGAACACTAAGCACACGATATGGCTTGAAAAATCTCATGAATTTCACTTTGTGCCAAATACAATTAGTCACCTATACAAACGCTTGTCAAATGAACCCTTTTGGGCCAAATGATAACTGGGGATGAAAAGTAAAGTGGATTATCTACAAAAACACTGTTAGGCAAAAAGCAAGTTGGATACTAGTTCAGTAATCGTATCCATCTCGCCACTAGTCACCATTTTTTGCTAAACAATATAATAGCTTTTTCTCTACACTTGTTAATACTTCCATCTTTAAATAGTTAATATTCTTTGTTCCTATATATCAACTAGCACAACCTAGTTTTCTAATTGCTAAGAGTTTGAAAATAGTTTACAATGTAATCCAATGGTACATCAAAATAGCCATCTGAGCTAAATTTGATCATTTATAATTCCTTTTTATTTTCTTGAACAACCTTCTGATCTATTTAATAAAATTATTTAGAATACCAGAATAATTATCTCAGTAATAATTTAACTTGCATTATCCACATAAATACAGATTTTACCTACTTCTAGTACCAATTGTTTAATTTTCAATTAATTTTATATTTCCCTTTATTGAAATATGTATTATTATATTTATTTAAATGTTTCAAAAATGTGAAAATAAATGTTCTACACATATTTTTACCATATGCAAGTCTTAAGGTAAAATAACACTGAACAAATATTAATTTAGAAGTCAAACAACAAAAAACAGTATTATATTTGCAAATTTTCACAGGACTAGATTTGATGGTTTTACTGAATCATCAGCTTCAGCTGCCAAAGTGCAAATGAACAGATAAGATATAGTGATAAGATAAGAATGGCTGGACAGGAGTTAAGCTACTGGTGCCATCTACTGATGAAACAAGAAAACTAAAACATAATTTCCATAAAGGCTGAAGGTAAAGATGGATTGGAATTACGGTGGTTAACTAAAACAGAAAGATGTCTTGAATGTGAAATGCCTCTAGAAAATCTAATTCACCAAAGGAAGATGTTTTTTTGAATACTTTTAACTGCAGAAAAATGGAAAGTGTGATTTTCAAACCAACAATGCTAGGAACAGAGGATTTTTGTGTTTCCTTTTTCCTAACATATGCTTCATGTTCCTTAACGTGAAATTTTATGGCTTTCCTAGTTTGACCAATATAACTTACCACACTGGCAAAGAATCCTGTAATCCCCAGGAATTCATATCCGAAATGGGGTTTTTTAGTATGGAATTCGAAATTTTATTGATAAGAGAAGAAATGACCTGAAAGTTAAATTTCTGTAAGATGCATGCAATTTTGTAGCTAATTGATGGAAACAAAGGAGCGACAACAAAATTCTTATAATCTCCTAAAACAAGAGTCTGCTCTTGGTGTGTCGAGATGAGAATTTTTTAACTGCTTGGTTTATAATGTTGGGTGAAAAGTCCCTGTCAATAGCTACTGCTTTTATATAATTTAGTTCTTGATCAAGAGCCAGTTTCGAGGAGCAACTTGAAGTGCACGGGAAATAAAGGAATAAAATGAAGCTAAGTTTTCTTTAGTCAGATGACAAGATTTGAAGTGTGGTCGAAGGCAAACCGATGAAGGTTTACAGTAAACCATAGTCCTAAAGTTGGATGTGTTATGTGTCACCAAAATGGCGAGGAACGGAAGAGAATATTGCATGTCTCAAGTTCAAAAGTGAACTGAATAGCAGGATCAATGGAATTCATCATGGAATTCCACTGATTCTTATTTAAATCATCTTTATTACCGTCAAACAGGGTAAACCTATCATCTACGTAGCGGAACCATACCAGAAAGTTTAATGCATGTAGATATCAGGCAGGATGGGACTAAGAGGGCTTCCCATGGTTAATCCCTCAGTTTGTTTGTAAGACTTATTTTGGAAAACAAAATGCATTTGTTTCAAACAGAGTTCAGTAAGAAAAATTACCTCATCAATTTCGATGCAGAAGAAATTAAATTCACAAAGTCTGGCTTCTAGACATCTTAATGCACCCTCCACTGGAACATTGGTGAATAATGGTTTTACATCAAAAGAAACCATGACTAAATTTCTAGAAGAAATGCTTTTAACTTTTTTTACAAATTCTATTGAATTTTTTATGGTGTAAATATTGTTATCTAATAGAGTTGAAAATCAAGAAGATAAATATTTAGCTAATGGGTATGAGGCAGTGCCTAAATTTGATACAATAGGATAGAAAAGAATACCACTTTTATGAATTTTGGGAAGAGCATATAAGCTGGCCCAATCCGCAACAGATAGGATAAGCAACTGTTTTAAGACAGTGTATTTGCAGGATTCAAACCTCGCACTGAACTACCAGTTTTCAGTGACTTTACCAAAATTCTTTAAAATAAATAAAGAAAACAGCTAAGATGCATATCATTATAACATTAATTTTGAAACCTTACCCATTCTCACGTGAACTGAAGCATTGTAAACACATTTTTCTGGCAGTGTAAGCACCGAGTTAGAGCTAATGTCAGATGATGCCATAAAGACCTCCTCTAAATTATAATGTATACCTGAAAGACAAATTCCACTTTAAAACACAAAAATCATTATAAACAATGCAGAATATAGTATATCATGAGTATGCACAGAAAACCTAACATACTCTGAGCTTAGTTTGAAAATCAGAAATTTTCAGAATCAGTTTAAAAAAAATAAAGAGCCAATTTAAGTAGTTAAATGAGCATGGTTCAAAAGATCTAATGTGTAAAGTCCAACCTACAATAAGCACATGCTGTAAGTGATCATGTTTTATTTAACACACTCTATTCAAGTGGTGTAATAAAATACAGTAAAAAATAATTGTGTGTGTCATAGTGCATTAAAAGCTTGATAATCTGAATGTAACAAATGCTTCTGCAATACTTTTTCTTTTCAATAAAAATTAAAAAAACAAATATCTGGCATGGCAGCCATGCTTTCCAACAAAAATTGAATCCTTTTTTTTTTTTTTTTTTTTTTTTTAACTTATAAAATCCTTAATAGCTTCGTATATCCTGAACAGCATCATGCTTTTCTCTCTCAAAATACAAAGTTTATTTCATCAGCATAACACTTCATCAAACTCATACAAGAAGAGTCCTAATAACAGCAAACTGTAACTTTATGTAACTCTCCGAGTGTCATGACTGGCTTTATAAGTCATGAGATTTTGGCTAATCTTTGGAATATGGTAACAGGTAGTTTGGAGACATTTTGGTAAGGTGATAAAGGTTACTAGCTAAGACTTTAGCAGTGTACATGGATAAAGTCAAGAGTGTGCGCAATGCCATTTTTGTGCAATTCCGGGATGTTTTTCAAGTGAAAATAGGTCGACGTGTACATGGATGATACCGTGTATGTGCAATTCTTAAAAACGCGGCAAGCAGTTTGCGATTCTGCACTTTCTCCCAATTTCGCACCTAATCTTCGTCATGATTAAGCACTTTTGTTCCATAAAAGTTCTAGCATAAGCATAACTCGGCTAGCAGATTGTTGGAAAAAATGTTGAGTTAAAAACAAATGCCTTTACTTCGTGAAAACAAAATGGCGTCCAAACAAAAACTAGCAGGTTGCTGTAGCAGGGTTGGTCGCCAAAATATCGCCAAGTTAATATAATCCAAAGATTAATTGAGATTTTTTGTCAGTTGTTATATATTAGCTAATAATTTAAGGTATTTTGTTTTCTTACTTTCATTAATAATATAAATGCCATGTTGATGACTTAAGTTTATGAAAATACAGACTAAAATTGGTAAATACAACATAACTTCATAGGAATACAACATAAACATAAAAATTAATTTAATAAATCATTAAAAAATACAACATAACTTCATAGGAAATATTCAACACAAGAGCACCATATACATTAAAACTACATGTACCCATTTTGTGTCATACAAAGAATCATACTGGTTATGATCATTAGAATTTTTATTAGGTATCCGAGAATAATAAAGATCTAAATGCCTTTCAGTTCCCTTCTCCTTAATGAATCAATACTTTCACTATCATGACTTCATAAAAAATCCTTATGGTTCAACAAAGATCAACTACTTAAATACGAAAATACATACTTTATTCTGGCTTCCTAGCAGCTCAAATGACTACTGTGAAGAAATTCCATGTCACTCCCCCATATGCAATACAAATACAAGCCAGCTTCTTTCAGAAAATCTTCTATAAAAGCATTTCTCCCTCAGAGTGATAGCCCTTAAGTGTACTGTTACATTTAATAAGCCAGTCCCTCCACACACGCAGACAGATACACCAAAAAAAATCTGAATTGGAATAACCACTTTAACTCATACTGCACATTTTCAAATGTTTGGTGCTGCTGCTTTTAGCTTCATATTATCATTGTCAATACCAATTAATCACTGCCATGTATGTCACTTCCTTCTAGCAATATTGCCTTAGGATATTTCAAAATTTATAAAAGTTTACACAATTTGCATAACTTACTGTTTTGAATTTTATAGGGAATTCTATTAATCTTTTTTTTTTTTTTTTTTTAGTGTCTAATATTTCAAATTTTAAAAGGTAATTCTTTAGCAATCATTACGCTTAAGAATATAATTTTTAAATTCCTCTATCATTTAACCTCTAACTGGTCGCATGAACTTGTAATGAATAAAGGGGAATTCGCCATCTGTGAAACTGCTGTTTTAAAAGTCTAAAATGAAAGAAAGAAAAAAATATTATTAAAATTTACATCTGGTCATAAGATGAACTTAAATATTTATTCTTCTTTTTACTGATGCATAAAGAGGTGTAGATTTCTCCTCCTTAACCCCCCCACCAAAAAAAGTTTCTGTAAATCAGGATATAAAAGCCCAAATGCAAAAACTGCTAAATTTGCATGCAGTTATTTAAATAAAAAATAGAACACCACAAAAGTTAATATTAATAGAAATTAATAATTTAAAACCAAAGTAATGAGAGATCAAATACATTATTTGTGGGGTAAAAACCTAAAATTACTTCAAAATAGTAATTGCAGTATGCTTTAATTTCTGCATTTTGTGTACAATTCTTGTATTTAGGTTTTAAATATTTTCAGCACATTGGTTCCCTGCAGAGTAAATAGAGGAACTGTTTCATTCTATCTGGTCTTTGGGGATACCAAAAAAAAAAAAAAAAAGATTTTACATTTTTGAAGAACTAAACTGTTATCTACTGATGTCAAAATTTTCCTATGGTTCACAGAAACAAATTATTTTGAAGCATAATTTATAAAGTAGGCAAAGATACTGAAGTTGTTTTGTCATATGATCTTGGACCAGTCTGGATGTTAATGTTTTTACAAATGCATGAATTTTCTTCTGTTACCTTATCTTTCTTATAGTAATGATGCATGATATAATACTAACTATCATACAGAAGATGAGTCTGCTTTTCCTCCAAGCTCTTTTAAAACTTTCGCTTCTACAATTATGTTGTGCACGTCATGAGACAAACTTCCGAAATGCAACTCATGCAGCTATTCTTTCTATACAAATATATGTTTACTCTCAGCTAAATTTTCATTACTTTTGCAATCATCATTATTCTCTGATAAGTTTAATTTACTACCACATTCAGATATTTCTCCTCTGAAACATTACCCACATTTCTTACAATGCAAGTCTTTTATTGCCATTTGGGGGCATGATAGCAATAAGAAGATTTCTATGAGGAATCCTTTGACAACCCCACTATGTAGACACATTGCAGAATTTGTAATACAAACAGAACCTGTGGGTTGGCAGACTGCATCACACTACAAGCTCACAGCAATATTTATAGCAACTTAGACAAACACTTAGTTTTAGTTCTTACGCTGTTTCATAAAATATTTTGGGTCATTTGATCCAAAACATCAATTACACAATTGTTGCACTGTAAAGACGCACAACCTCAAGTACTTTTTCTCCTATGACGCAACTTTCAGAGTTGGATGAAGTGAATTCATGATGACAATCTTGTTCGTTTATCCCTGGTAAAACATGAGAGATGAGAAATTATTGTGCTTGACAGTTTTACTAAAAAATAATTCCTCTTTCATATTCTATAAAGAATTTTTTTTTTTTTTTTTTTTTTTTTTTTTTTTTTAACCACAGTTGCTGCACCAGTTTAACGAATTCCCTTTTTCTTCCTCTTCTTCAACGGCTCAACAGCCGTGGGTAGACCCTGGCCTTCTCCAGGCCTCTCTACTTTTGGCAATTGTTTTCCAGTTTTTAACCTTTAAAATACTAAGATCTTTTTCAACACAAATCAATACACATCAGCAGGGGTCTGCCCCGAAGTCTTTTTCCCATGGGCTTTGCCAGAAAAATTTTCTTGCAGCAACAATCTCCATTCATTCTAGCCAGATGGCCAGCTCATTTAAGTCTCTGTAATTTGATGAATTTTACAATATCAGGTTGTTTGTAAATTCTAGAGTTCTAAATTAGATCTCCATGATCCGTTAACTTGGACCCACCAAGAATGCAATACAAAATCTTTTGCACAAAAATTCTCAGAACTTCCTAATTCCTTTACTTCTCGAATTTTTTACACAATTTAAAGAAGTATAGAGAATGTTTGTTTGTAGTAACATGTTTCCTAGTGTTATAAAAGGATTCAATTAACTGACAAATGGCAGGCTTGCCAACAATTTCTTTAAGTGATCTGCTTTCATCTTCTCCCAAATAAGGATATACATTTATTAGGTATTTTATCTTTACACAGTTAAAAACCAAAATTTTATGCCAAATTTATTAGTTTTTGTGGCATATACATTATTCCTTCATCTATGCAAAAAGAGATGTTAAATTTAATTCATGGGGGTCATTTTGGTATAAAAAAATTTAATAAAAGAGCTAGAGATGTTTTGTTTTGGCTACTGAACAAGCAGACAGAAGATCAAAATTTCAAAATGTCCTATACGTAATGAATACCAGAATAAAAACATAAGAGAGCCTATGGTACCGCATGAAGTTCCCAATTTTTACCTTAATATAAAGTTGCAACAGATTTATTTGAGATTAACAAAGAGGTATACTTATTAATTGGAGATTACTATTCCAAACTTTTTTGAAATCTCCAAAACTTACCGGATAACTCGAAGTCAGACAGTGATCAGTTACATGAAATCTCATTTTGCAATATAAGGTATACCATTGATAATGATATCTGATAATGGACCTCAGTTTGCAAGTAAAGAATTTGCAAAGAAATACATATAACAAGCAGTCCATACTATCCAGAGTCAAATGGATTAGCAGAGCCTTCAGTACAAATGACTGAGAAATTGTTAAAGAAAGCTCAAGCAGATCATGCTGATCCTTATTTAGCATTCTTTAGCTCATGGGAACACTCCAACTAATGAGATATTAGGATCACCAGCTCAACGACTTATGAGTAGAAGAACAAGTTCGATTCTTCCTACATCAGAAGAATTACTTAAACCTCAAGTTGCGAAAAACGTAAAAGAAAAAATTCAACCAAGAAAGAACAAAGCAGAAGTCATATTATGATCATCATACAAAATCATTACCATCGCTAAATAAAAGAGATTGTGTTAGGGTATATCAAGATAATCACTGGAAACCAGCAGTTGTAGAAGTATATAAGATGCCTAGATCATATATACTGAGATCAGGTGGATCAGTATTGAGAAAAAATAGAAAAGACATTAGAGAAAAACAGTTCAGCTGTTGAAGAGAATATCAGAGGAACAGAACACGGAGTTAGTGCACAGAAAACAGATGTAAAAGGATATGATTCCAGATATTCTCAAGGGCAAAGTTTAGAAGAAAACTACCAAATTCTGCTAACTCAGAAACAAGGGATGATGAGCAAAGAACTAGAAGTGGGAGAGTGATTAGAAAACCAGCCAGTTATTTGGACTGATTTTAGACTGTTAGAAAAAAAAAACTTTTGAACTCTTTTAGAAAACGGAAGATGTAATATTTAATAATTTGTAAATGGCAACATTTAATATTAAGCAACACTTTGGATACGGATATGAAAATAGAACTATGTTGGTATTGCAGTTCTCTGTAATCTAATACATTCTATGATTATAAATAAATGGTTTCTAAAAACTAAAAGGTGCACCATCATTATTCTATAGAATCTAATCTGAAATGTATTGGCACAAAACATGCACTAGTACAGAAGAAATGAAAACCCACTTTTAAGAAGCTTTATGACTTAATTTTTGAAATAAATAGCTAATTAAAATGTACATTATGCATGTTAGTTGCCTTGAACTAAAAAGCATCAGTTTTGTATAATAAGCTTTATTGCTATTCTAAAACATGAAATATTTAAGAGAAAAATTGCCTGCAACGGAGAGCGGTTAAGAACGCTATCCTGCTGAAACATAAACATGAACAACTGTTGCCATTCACACAAACTTAATAGTAAAATAAAGCATGTTGCCAGTGACAAGATTATTGTAAATCATAACATAAAAATAAACAGTGAGCAAATAAATAAGGCAAAGAAAAAAAAGAAATGCAAATATTAAATATACATGCAACATTAACTCCCACCCTTGCCATTGCATTAACAATAGATCATTCCCGATGCAATGGCAACGGTAAATTTTTACTACAGGTCTTTTAAAATAACCATTAACAGTTTTTAATGTAACAACTGCAGGAAAGTATCTTTCTGACGTCACGCAGACGATTCGCAGTACCAGTACTTAAAAGTTCGTTAAACACAGTTCTAAAGCATATAATAATAACACATTAAATGCCTCACCTGGGGAACCAAATAGTTGCCTTGAACTAAAAAGCATCAGCTTTGTATAATAAGCTTTATTGCTATTCTAAAACATGAAATATTTAAGAGAAAAATTGCCCGCAGCGTACTACGGCTAAGAACGCTATTCTGACAGACAGACAAACTGAAACATAAACATGAACAACTGTTGCTATTCACACAAACTTAATAGTAAAATAAAGCATGTTGCCAGTGACAAGATTATTGTAAATCATAACATAAAAATAAACAGTGAGCAAATAAATAAGGCAAAGAAAAAAAGAAATGCAAATATTAAATATACATGCAACACATGTAATGGAACTACTCTGATATGCGCCCTCAAGCCGCCAAATATTTTTGGCGAGAAACTTCACGCTGCCATATTACTATCTAAATTTTTTGTCTACATTTTGAACTTTTAGCCTAAAATGTCTCCAAAAAACGCGGTTTTTTCGCACATGCAAAAAACTACCGTTTTGAACACACAATTTAGCTAAAAATCCGAAACAAAAACAAAAAATTTAGATAGCAAAAACGAAAGTTTCTAACCAAAAATATTTGACAGAAATCCATGTACACAGCGACATGTTTTAATTAAAAAAACATCTACGAATGCACAATGTAGGCAACGAACGAATCTACAAACTACGCACACCTCGCTTTAATAAATTAACATAACAACAATAAATTTCAAAGAATACCATGTACACAGCATCCTGTTTTAACTTTAAAAAATTCTACGAATTGCACAATTTAGGCAAGGAAGGAATCTACGATCTACGCACTCCTCGCTTTAATAAAAATAACATAACAACAATAATTTTCAAATAATACCATGTACACAGCGTTCTGTTTCAACTTTAAAAAACATCTACGAATTGAACAGTCTAGACACTAAACAACAAAATAAACTAAAATAAATTTCAAACAATTTAAAAAAACAACAATAACGACAGAACTTCCTCAGAAACATACTAAAGAACCAATGACATAACATTCTACAAAATAAGAACAAGGATAAAATAAAATGCACTTACCATGAATTAATGCGTTTTCGAATAGCAGAAATATAAATTTCATACCGCCTTTAAACATGCCTCCACGTAATCACTATCGTATTTACACGACAGCCAGACACACTATCCAGAAAATTTATACTATGGTTCACAAATAAATAAAATCACGGTTGATCTTTACAATATGGTAACTGGTAGTTTGGCGACAGTTTGGAGGCGATAAAGGTTACTACCTGGCACTTTGGTAATAATGTGAGCAGTACTCAGTTCCGATTACGCATTATTTTGTGTGAGGGAAATGAGAGATCATGAGATATGTCATGTCATAATAATGGACGAATTACGGTTCTTTAATCGGAAAAGGGGGAAAATCGGGAAAAAATCTGGAAATTTTGTATTTGGCTTTATTCTGTGTTGTGTGAAACAGTGTTTGTGAATTTTTGGATCCCATGGCCGTAACTAAAGTGAATTCGAAATGGGTATTTATGTATGTATTAATTTAATGTATGTGCTCATTTATATTTTAAGTAGTGTTTTTGAATTTAATTATATTTTAATTAAATGATAGTTATTTTGGAATTTTATGTTTGTAGGAATTCGGTATACGTTTAAGTTTAAGTGAAAAGTAAACGTGCATGGAAATAATTTAAATATCTGACACTGAGTATTTGTAATGGTTGCGGTATGAATTCGTTGGTGACGTGTATAATGTATGTAATAGATGATTTAGAGGTAAAAGTGTTTGGATATTTATTTTATTTATTTTATATGTGGAAATGTTCATATTTGGAAAGGGTAAATACTTTTTCGCGATCAGGTAATTTCACATATGTTCTTTTTACCGGATTTAAAGATTGAGAAAATTGTCATGTATTTTCGTGAAATTTTTCTAATTTATGAGAAAAAAAAAAGCAGTGTACATGGATATAGTGAAGAGTGTGCGCAATGCCATTTTTGTGCAATTCTGGGATGTTTTTTTAAGTAAAAATAAGTCGGCGTGTACATGGTTTATGTGTATGTGTTATTTTGAAAAACGTAAGGAGTATGGTATTGTGCACTTTTTCCCAATTTGCAGTGAATATTTGTCATGATTAAGCAGTTTTGTTAGATAAAATTTCTAGCATAAGTGTAATTCGGCTAGTAGATTGTTGGAAGAAGTGTTCAGTAGATAAAAAGAAAAAGAAACGTCTTTACTTCGTGAAGACAAAATGGCGGCGGGAAAAAAATAGAGGGTTGCTGTAGGAGAGTTGGTCGCCAAATTTTCGCCAAAAAACGCCAAGTTACCATAATGTAAAGATCAACCAAAATCACAAATCCCTACTTCTATCATGCACTGCCATTAAAAATAATCTTCCAGACCCTCTTTCCACACTTCCAAATATCCATACCCCTCAACAGGATAGCCACAATCATATTTCCTTTTGCCGAACTTCAATTGAACAACTACCATTTTATCTTTCCCTCCCATCTTCTCAGACACAGAGGCGAACCAACGAGCTCCAGTGAAAGATTTTTCAACGTCAACAGGGTTGCCATAGAACACGCAATCGCGCCAAAAACCAGCGCAGAACACATATCGCCACATTTGGTGAAATTAGGGCGTATATTAGAGCTGTACCCATGTAATAAATTATTTTTTGTAATTATAAGTCATGATTTTGTTTTTCTTCTGCAAAATATCTCGTAATAGCACCAAAGTATTTGTTTTAATACACAAGTACCCTCCCCCCCCCAAAAAAAGAAACAAATATACAACACAATCGCAGAATAAAACATTATCACAAATCATCAGAATAATGCAAAGTTTCAATGGGAAATACCAAAAAAAAAAAAAAAAAAAAAAAAAAAAAAAAAAAAAAAACAAAAAAAAAAAAAAAAAAAAAAAAAAAACAAAAAAAAAAAAAAAAAACAAAAAAAAAAAAAAAAAAAAAAAAAAAACAAAAAAAAAAAAAAAAAAAAAAAAAAGAAAAAAAAAAAAAAAAAAAAAAAAAAAAAAAAAAAAAAAAAAAAAAAAAAAAAAAAAAAAAAAAAACAAAAAAA